ATTTTCCTTCTCTCATACATCATACACCACATCATGTATACAATGAGAGGATGCAAAGTATGATGAGAAAAGAGTTGCGTTCAAAAGAAAATTAAGAACAATTGAGAGAAATTTACGAAACAACACTGGCGAGCGACAGACTGAAGAGACAAAGTGACCGAAGGAAACTAACTGCAGACTTCCAAAACCAACACGATGAAGTTCCTGCAACTCGTCGTCTCTCTGATGACAGGATCACTAAAGATCCTGTATATGCATATATATGTTTACTACATTTCAGTGTCTGAACTCTACAAGTCCTATCTATATAAGAAGGACGTCTACAACCAACTGAAGTTCTCAGACACACAAATTCAATAACTGTACATCACATTTCTCTTTGCTCTGCAGGTTATGAGGCCTTCTTTGAAGTGGCTGCATATGCAGCATCATGGGTTCAATTCAGCTGCAGATAACCAAAAACAAATAAAAAAATATGATTATATTGATACATTTATTCCCAGCAGAACAACCTTAGCAAGCTCACAGAAGGATGTGTCAGAAAATACAGGCTGATTTTCTCTGTAACATGAAAAGAAAAAGAAAAATCTCAAGGTGGTCATTAAACATCTTGAACAGGCAGGTCGTGGGTACTACAAATGTATTTTATCAAAGATCAAACTTGTGTCCTGTCATTAAGAACATGTTATTGGAACCTGGTAAGAAATGTGTGGATGTTGTTAAGAAGAAGTAGTAGTAGTGATAGTAGCAGTACATGTGGTGTTTAACTATTCTTTAGTAGCTAAAAAGAACAATAAACAGTTCCAATATAATGAAAACCTTTCGCTTAGTGTAATCAGTCAGAGCTCGCTGAAAGGATTCGGATCATCCTTTCTGGAACTAAAAACTGAAACTCAGAGTTACCATCTTTTGAGTTCCTCAAGTTTAAATTTACACTTACACTTTGTTGAAGCTGCTTTCTGGAACACAGCCCCGGTCTTCAGCTCTCAGAAATCTCTATTACAAACATTTCATCAGGTTTACCAGCTAAAGTGGATCTGTTATATGTTTTTGTGACCTTTTTCACATACATGTAAACATGTATGCTCTTAAATACCATTCTGGTCGTTTAGTTTTGGAGTAACCAACCAAATCAACAGTTCACTGCACAACCTCATCAGCTGGCACAGAGTCAACTGTTGGTTGTTTTTGAGGCCTAAAGACTAATATTGCATTAGATATATGACCAAAGTTTAAACAATAGTATGAATCTACTTTTAAACTGGTGCATGTTCATAATAAACACTGCCAGCATTTTAAATAATGAGAAGGTTCAGGTCTCAGACTGTTCTACAAACTGTTTTAGGAGGGTTTATTTTCTAATATTGGAGCAGCATGTCACAGAGTTTTCATTCCTAATGTAGTAAAGTGTGAGTGGAAGTGTAGAAGGCATGCTTTTGTTTACCCAGTTAGTCCAAAAGGGAACAGAAATCTGAAAAACATGATCTGTCTCGCCTCTGATGCACAGAAGCCCCACCCACTAACAGTTCAAGACTTCCTTAAAAGGAAAGCTGTCTTAAAGGGGGAGGAGCTAAATAGTTTGTTTCAGATAGAGCATAAACTAAATCAAGTCTCCATAAGCAGCACTGTAAACAGACTGATTACATTCATCCATTCAGTTTCTAAAACTACGTATTCAGGGTCTCAGAAGGCCGGGGCCTCTACCCAAGCTGAGGGTATTTGAATTTGATCTGTAAAACATGCTCTACTAGAATATATCTGCATAATTTTTAAAATATGGAGCAAAATGCATCTCCTTCAAAGCAGAGTATTGATGATAGATTGATTAAATATGGATTGATTTCTATTTCTGGTTTTGTCCACAGACCCGGGGTCTGTGATTTCAGTTGTGGTTCACTGTCTGCATGTGCTGATGTTGCTGCTTATAGTCATCACATGGTTTGTCTTCAGATATCTCTGACATTTTTTCAATTTCGGAAAATCATTTACAATAAGATCTTTCTCATTTTATTTTACATACAATCACAAAATCAAAAACATAAAATGCAGAAATTATTGCATGGTTCATGCTAAATAGAAATGAGGATTTGTGGCCAAAATCATTAAAATACAATGATAGAACCTTTCTTTTTTTAATGTGTCTGAAGAGGAATGGAGCACAAAGGCAAATAAATGAGGTTAGTGTGTAGCATAAAATTGTACTACATAATATCTACACAAAAAAGCACAGCACAGTACCACACTCAGTGAAAATTCACCATCCAAGGCTGAAAAGTTAAGCCAACACTCAAGTACCAAAAGCTGCAGCTCCTCTAATGACTAATTCAGGTTTTCTCCAAATAGACTCCTGTGTTAAACCTCTCAACTTTATGGCAGAAGATGGAGACCATGGTCATGGTCTCCACAGCTTAATGTTACCTTTAACACATTTTTTCTATTCCCTTTTTACTTGCACGTTGCCTTTAAGCATGTTCAGTATGTGTTTATGTATTGCTCTGGCCCTGATTATATGAAACTAGCATTTACATAAATCATTTCATTAGTTAAAAAGCAGAGAGATGCCAGTTAACACAACTTTCATCTGAGAGAAAGATGCCGCTGCTACTAGTGCTGTTCAAAGAGGCAGACGAACATCTTAGATCCAACATTTAACTGCTGAAGATTAATAACATTTAAATTATAAATATGTTTGACAAGTATTTCTGTGGATAGTTAGCGTTGCCTGCAGCACAGGTGGTCCTTCTGTTGTCTCGAAAACTTGCTAAACAGTTTTTACATTTAATTGACAAGTTTTATTTAAAACCTGTAATTTACTTCAGAGCAACACACTTTACACCTTAAATAAGAAGTGAAAAGCCAACAGATCTAAAACATGTAGTAAATATAGGCTTTTGTCAGCAACACTTGCTGTTTTAAAAAATGAATATTATAAAATGTGAACACACATTTATTTTAGTCTGTGAGTCACTGGCTTTAGTTTCTTCTTAAATATTGTTTTTCTGTGTGACATTATTTCACACATCATGGAGCAATTCATTTGTGCGTCCTTTCATAATGTACAAAATGGATTTTTATTAATAAATTAACTCCTCTATTTTTCATTACATTGGAGCTTTTATTTGTGTGTGTGTTTGGGGTTTTTTAGGGCCTCATTTAACCATCTGAGGTGGGATTACATCAGATTGACTTCAGTTTGTGGAGAGCTCAAAGTGGCTAACGCTTCACTTTTCTGAGTGAAATTCTAGCAGTCGTAGCGTACAGCCTGGACAGACTTCTACAAGTCTCATAGTACACAAGCTTTTTTGCGCCACAGACCGGAATTTACGGAGAATTACTGGCAGCTGTGGTTGCCAGAATTTCACCGTGAAAGATAAACTGTAAATGTAGAACACAAAACGGTATCCTATTTTGGTAAAAATTAAAAGCACGGTATGTTTCGAGTAATTAACATACAGTGGTAACTTGTAAATTCAAATGAAAAAAGCAGCAAAGATTGTCATTCATACAGAGTTATTATGTAAATTGTAGGGTGATTAATTGTAGATAATGTTACAGATTTTGCCTGTTGTTTTCTAAGACAGTGTGCCATATTACTGTAAATGTATATATTTTCAACATATTAGTAGTGTAAAAATAAAAGCAAATCACCGTTTGTCAATCATCATCATTTACTCTTTTTGATTTAATGGTAATTTACCGTTGCCATTTTACAGTTTTTTAGGGTAATTTTTACATACATTTCTTACATTGCAGTTGCAAAAAAAAAGAAATTTAGAAAACCATAAATTTCACACCCAAGGCTCAACTCTCGCGGCCTGGTAGCAAATGACTCACAGACGGGTCCGTGGCCTGGTGGTTGAGGACAATTAACTACTAGTTCTTTTCTAATAATGTGTCACTGAAGTATAGATCATGAATGTTGCTGGTTATTTCCTGTCATGTTTAAAAGCTGAGGCTCACATTACTCTGTTGAACCATTCAGTCCTCAGCTCCATTGAAAATGAATCCTTCACGTTTTTTTTCATAATTTTATTATCCTATAACGTAAAAAATACAAAAAAAAAAGATTCTATATATTTCTACACTTTTCCATTGATATTACATTAATCCAGACAATGTTATAACAATGCAAAATGCAAACAATGCATTAGTTGTATGACGTCCTTATACGCTCTGTTGTTTGTGCTACGTGTTACCCCAGAACTCTAAAGAGAATAAGAATATAAATATAATAAAAACATAATACAAATTTGATTTGTCACAGTTGTTTATTTATGTGAAAAATACAAATTTTGTTTAAAAACATCTAAAAGAACCAGCTCGATTAACCTGTAAAGGATGTAATCATGCTCAGTTTTACTTTAATATACCAATTTATTTATAAATCCTACAAAACTATGGAAAAGTCTGCACTTCACAAAGACAGCTGACTGAAAAGCACGTCACACTCAGTGAACAAATTTCCTTCGTGAGTGAAACACAGATGTCTGCTGTGGTTTTGTGATGTCCCATTTTCATATAGCATAAAACCAAATGTATGTTTTTTTAGATCCTGAACAAATCCATGAGAAAACCTGAAAGACCCAGGAGGCTGCTGCTACAACTTTAATTCATGTGAACTAATTTAAACCGAACTCCTGCTGGAAGGAACAAAATATGAAGAACAAAATAACTGAAAATGAAACCTGACACTGTACAAACACAGATCAGTTTAATGTGCTGTGCCTAAAGCTCATCGATAAAAACATTCTCATGAACATCTCCAGCATGTTTCTAGCTCATATCCATGCTCTCTGTGGCTCCTATACCCCCACCCTCCCCTCCCTTGATGCTCTGGTAGATAGACGCCATGTCAGTGCTGGTTTTGATTTGATTGGCAAATTCGGCCATGCTGGGGCTTCGTTCCACCTCAGGCACAGCCAGCAGGGCGGCGACAGCACGCATGGCCGAGCGCCGCAGCTCCTCCTGCTTTTCAAACTCCTGCTTCACAGAACCGGCCTTCACCTGCAGGTGGAGGAAGGAGACGGAGACTTCATTTCAAGGCAGAGGGAAACTCAAGGTTACAACTCCAGGTTTGTAAAGATCTCTGTGTATTTTACCTTTAAACTATAAAAAAAAAAGGTTCGTAGAGAGTAAGGATGCGGTTTTTATAAATAATTTCTGGTAAGTGGTGTTTAAGAGACCATCAACTTTTTATTTTCTGAATCATAATGTTTTAATGAAGTGTTGATTTCTAAGACTGTGTGTCTGTTTGAGTACTTTGGTGGTGACGGTCGCTTTAAGTGGTTCCACCAGCCTGTCCAGTCTCTGGAGAACAGCAGCAGGACACAGAGAGACCAGTCTGGCCAGCATCAGGAAGGTCAACATCTGCACAGTGATATTAAAAACAAGGAGAAAATGATCAAAAATAAATCATTATTTTCTGATTGCTGGTGCTACTGAACACCCCAGAAATCATTCCACAGGACAGAAGGTAAAGAGGTGGATCATTTGTACTTTAACTATTTTTCCACCCACTCTGATATCATAGTGGTCTTTGAGTCCTTCCTCTACATGATCCAGGAACTGCAGGATGTCCAGCCCCTCCAGGCAGCTGTCCAGAAGACTGTACATACACTCAAATGCAGCTTTACGCACATCCAACCCATCATCAACAGTGTGCTTGAACGGACCCATCTCCACCTGCAGCACACAAACAGTAAAACGTCTGCACAGAGCACGAACAGAAACGCCTGCTGCTTCTAAATCAGCTAACTCACTTCTCTGATGAGGTCCTTCCTGATCTGGGTCTCCTTGTAGAGGTGAGGCAGCACTCTTCCCAGGAGACCGCGGATCAGAGACGGTTTGTTATGAGCTGCTGAGTTAAACATTACCAAGGCGATACGTCGCACATTGATGTCCTCATCCTGCAGGGTCTTCAGGAAGTCACCTGTCACACAGAGATGACATCACAGCTTTTTATTTTTCAGAGCCTCATCTGGGTTTTTATATTTGAGTCAGCATTAGACTTCAGTTTATATTTAAGATTAAATGAACATTTGTTTTGGTTTTTAAGTGGGATCATATGAGGAACTTATCTGTAGTCAGTGTATCACTTATCTGTCAACACATCCAAGCATCAACCTGTGGGGCTGAAAAATGCTACCAACAAAGAAGGGGGAAAACTGCAGTTCCTATAATGGCCACACAGGTTTGAGACAAATGAGAAGACTCCACTCAGGCAAGTCTGCTGGACCAGACAGGGTGAGTCCTCGTGTTCTCAAGGCCTGTGTATAAACTGTTCCTGTTCCTGTTCCTGAGTTTGCAGACAGTCCTGGTGCTGTGGAAGACATCTGTCCCAGTGGCCCCCAGGACTACAGACCCTTGGAAAGTCTCATCCTTGACCTGCTATGAGCTACAGTCAGGCCACATCAAGATCCCCTTCATTTCGCTTACCAGCCCTGCGTCGGAGCAGAGGACCCCATTCATCTACCTGCTCAATTGTGCAGAATCCTCTGCAGCTCAACGTGACAAAAACCAAAGAATTGATTGTGGACTTTATGGGGATCAGGAAACCTGTTTCAATCCAGGAGGACAAAGTGGAGGACTATAAATACCTCAGAATAAACGTTGATAATAAGTTGGACTGGGTTAAAAACACCACTACACTCTACCAGAGTGGCCAGCGCCATCCTCTATGCCATTGCATGCTGGGACAGCAGGCTGAGGAACAACTTATTCTATGCTGTTCTTATTGTCTTGGGGACACTGTAACCACACAATTTCCTCAGGGATTAATAAAGTATTCTGATTCTGCTTGAAAGGCGAGTCAATCTGATTATGAGACATGTTATACTATGTGTAATGATACTACAAGCCTGTATTTCAATGCAGTGTGATTCTTCAGGAATTGAAAGGGAGAGCATACATCTACAATGATTGATGTTACATCTGACAGCAACGACCCGTATCACGTGACCAAAGATAAATGAGGCTTGTTTCTCTGACATGAGATCACTGCTTCGTGATGTGCCTCGAGCTGTTGAAAAGATGCAGGAATTCAAATTTTCTGTGTGAACTGGATCTGTCGTGACTCTGAGGATCATCACAAGCTTGCAAGGAGATTATAAGAACATTATGGAGCCAACAAGGTGAAAAATATCCGCAGTTAGGGAGCATTTAGACATGATATCTCCTAATAATGACACACATCTTCTCAAATCAATCTCAGAGAGGATGGTTGGTTAGAGGTGTCTGTGTGTATAGCAAAAATAAAATACAGAACCTGATATCCGCTGGTATGCACCCCACATGTATTATCACAGCTGGGCTGCTGTACATCAAATGAACAGTAGATGTCATTACTTCAAAATGAGCAATTGTTCGGAAAGATTCGACACATTCATGGAGCTTCATCGCACCATCTCCATCTACAAGTGTTCCAGTCTACCCGTTGGAACAGGTCAGCAATTAAAGTTTTAGGTTTAGAATTTTTTCATTGCTCTAACTTGCTTTCACACAGCCTTTTCCAAAGGGAAACACCAGAATTGCTCGGCTACCTCTGCAAATCTGCATATGTGAGCCATTAACGTTTCACCATGAAACTGAATCTTAGAAAAATGCTTTACGTTCTGTGTTAATGTAAAAAGATGAAGAGTAATGATGTAACATGGGATGCAAACATTTTTTTAACTGTACCTATGCAGTCTTTCAGCAGTGAGTCTATGGGTGCCGGGTGGTCAACAATAGTGAACTTGATGGCTGTTACCACGGTGCTGCGAGCTAAAGGAGAACCTGTGGAGACAATGTAACAAAAAATAAAGATTGTTGTATATATTTTTTTTTCTCATTCATATTGAAGCCATATTAATACAAAATGTCAAGACCATGTACAGAAACAGAGATTGACCATGAAGATGTTAATTCTGTATTATTTGTTGCATCTGACATAAAAAACAAAAATATAAAATAGTTCTTAAATATCATCCTACCAGTTTTAAGTTGTTGTTTAAGTCGAGGCAGAAGTGCTGCCGGATTGACTAAAGTGAGTTTTCCCAAACATTCAGCCACCAGGTTCCTGGTGCCCTCCTCCTGACACTCGCAGTTCTGAAACAGCAAGGCCCACACAGACTCTACATGGGGCGAGAGACTGGAGGCTGGACAGACACTGAACAAAGAGAGAGAGGAGGAAGAAAACTTTAAGAAAACTTTAAACTTATTTCATTCAACATATGTCATGCAAATTTTGTTGCAAAGCTTTGCAAAGTTTTTTGGCAAAATCTATCATTTTTATCAGCTTAAATATTAAACTGTTACTGCAAAATTCACACTTAAACTGCAGTGAACTCATAAATGATGCTTTTCAATGATCACCTGCTTCAGAGAACAACAACAGATTATGGTGAATTAAATGCACACACACACATTTAGCCAAACATTCAACAGAACACACACCTGATGACTTCTTTGAGGGAGTGAAGGAGCAGGTACTGTCTCCGTGGCTGGGCTGAGATCTCCTTCAGGAGGAAGGGCAGGTAATCGCTCAGGCAGCCGACGGCCATGCTGCCTAAAGCGCAGGAGGCTGCCGTCTTCACCTGAAATCACCAACAAGATCACCACACAGTCGGCTGTCTGAGCTTATTTAACCTTTGTCGCATTAATTCATCGACTGAACTAACCCACTCTACTCTCCACACAGTTTGCTCCACAGAGCTAAAGCAACATCTCATTCTGAAGGATCTTTTTTACTGATTGTCAGATCTTCTCTAAATCTTCTTTAAGCTCTGTTTTCACACCTCCTAATGTTTCTGGCCGTTGTGAAACAACTATCAGACACTGAAGAAGCACTTACCTAATAAGTAGTAAAACAAACAACTGGCACTGATATCAAAGCAGTAAAAGGGTAAAAAACAAAACGGACTTTTTGACTAATTAGGTTTCAATATCAAGGAAATGTAACTGTGATGTGGGGGAAACAATCCGTTTTCCTTTGTGGAAAATTACTTGTGTGAAACCTGAAGCTCTTCAGACAATCAAAGAAAAAAGAAATATTTATTAAAACACTGGCACACAATCGGATTTGGAGAAGCTCTTCTTTTAACTAAAAGATAAATTTATTCATTGTGAATGAAAAATTTAAATATTCAGATGTGGATAGTGTGTCCTACCTCTTCACTGGTGGAAGAGAAAGCCTCCAAGATGACTCCCTGCACCTCCTTACTTCCTCCCAGACTGCCCTTCCTCCCCACCTCCCCCAGACACAACAGGGCGAGGACACGAGCAGCCTCTGGAGAGCCGGGATTCTTCACCTGAGGAGAGGAGAGGGCAGAATTTCAATGAGGTAAGTGTTAAAGTAATAACAGCAAAGAAAACAAAGGTGGCTTCTAAGAGGACAGTTTCAGATCAAATTTTATAAAACAAACAAACACGAAATTTGTCTAACAAATTTATATCTCATGTCTGTTTGTGTCACATTCTTAGAGGAAACCTCCATTGAAGCTAAAGCAGAGCACAAATGCCAGACTCTCACACCTGCTGTATGAAGCCGGCCACAGTGCCAGGAGTCTCTTTGGGAGAAGCAGAGGACAGAGCAGCCACACAGCGAGCGACTGAGTGGTAGGACTGCCTATGGACGATGCTGCCATCTGCAGAAGACTGAGATCTGTGAAAC